GTTGGGTTTCTTGTAGAAGGTTTCTTGTGGACAAGCCTCCACTGTAGGCGTTGCGCCGGGGGGCTTGAAGGTTCGAGTAGGGGATCGACTGCAGAATTGATTTGCCCCGAAATTGATTTCACCGTCGAAGCTACAGGCAGGGACGTCGCACTGTCCGAAAGAAATAATTCTGGGGTGGATCAAATTTTTAGTCGATCCCCTACTCGAAAGGTCGCATATCCCGCATAATCTGGCATCATTCAGGGATGCGCGCTTTCCAGCGTGCCCTTTGCACCGGCCACTGCTGCTTTCGCGGAGGACTTGCCCAGGTGCATCGACGCCGCCAAGCGCGGGGTCACTCGTTTCTGTGCCGATGACATTGGCGGCGCCGTCGCTGGCGTTGCGCACCTTGCCCATGTCGAGCGCGTCCTCGGCGTAGCGCGCACGGTCGCCACTCTTGACCTCAAGCTGACAAAGTGCATGCTTATCCAGGGGCAAGCCACCTTTTCAGAGCAGGCTCGTGCGGCGACTCGGCGGATCTTGGAGGAATTCGTCCCTGGCTTCCCCGACTTCCAAATTGTCGACATGATCCGATGTCTGGGCTTCTGGCTAGGCCATTCCGTGATGCTTTGGCGCCAGTGGGAGGGGCCACTTGACAAGGTAGGCCATCGCGTGCGAGAGGCTGGGTCTAGTGGCGCCCCGGCTTGGGCACTTGCCCTGGCGTACTCTTCAAATATTGTGCCGGTGTTGTCTTACCTCGCTCAGGTGCTTCCGCTGCCTCCCGGCACCCTTGGTCTGGAAATCGGCCACTTGGCCCACTTGTTCAGGATTACTCTTGGCGTGTTACAGCCTCACCAATGGCCTCAGATGTCAGGAGGGAGAAAAAAAACACACAGACACAATCAATCCTCGATTCCTCCGAAAATATAGAAAAATATGGGAAGTGGGGGGGGGAAGACAGAAACCCAGAAAATATGAAAAATATGGGGAATCTTTATATTTGTGTGTATTTATTTGTGTGTCCCAGGGCCCCTTCAGATGATTGGAAATCGATTCTTCGTGATCGGCATGATTCTTTGCCTTTATGGATGGTGGGTTCTGCCAAACTCTCGCCGCAACACTGGCAATGCACCTCTGTCGCGGAGTTCCTGGACCGTGCCGCGAACGTCTCTGGCCCAGTTGTCCGCTACTCGACCCAGCTCCTCACAGTTGCGAACATGGCGATCTCCGATCTTGCCGCCGAGGCAGAACATCGCCTCAGACGTGCCAGATTCCAACGTGCTGCCCGCGTGGCCATGGACGACCTTCTCGCCACTCGTTCTGGCCTCCACGACTTGTTTGTCTAGCGCCTTTCCAAGTGGTGGCCTACGCAACGGCAGTCCTTTACAATGTTGGACTGGGGCCATGTGCAGGCTGGCTGGTCCAAGTGCACTATATCGTTGTCGTGGCCTGCCATCCGGACACTTTCCTCTGGTTGGTGCACGTCTTACCGCATCCTCCGTGCTGGCGGCCGCGAGCGATGTATATTCAGGTATGCTGGGCTGATCGTTTTCATCATTACTCATTCTGTAGGCGCTTGAAAGCTGCAGTGGAAGAGGCGCTCAACGACGTGTGCCGCCCTGGCTATTCGTGACATGGGGTCTGAGCAAGCCTTTGTGACGATTTCGCACAACGCCTACTACAATTGTGTTCGCGAAGGCCCGCCTGTCCCTCATCATGATGCTGTCGCCTATGTTCGCGCTGCGTACTTGGCCCTGACGCTGCTTGCGAAGCCTCTGGTCCATCCTCTTCAGGACGTTCCTGCGGACTCTCTCTGGCATCTGGCGCGTCGTGCTCATGGTCTTCCGGTATTTCGCCCTCCCACAGACGCGCGTGGGATTAACTCGGGACTTGCTTGTGGTGGCTCTCATCCAAGAGTCCTGCCAGCGGCATCTGCGCCAACGTGCCCATGTACGCCGCGTCCGACTCTGCTTTGGTCGCCGTGCTCCAGTCCGAGGCTGACGGGCTGATGATACCTTCCTTTCCTGCTGCGAGCGCGTGCAATGCGACACCGTCCACGTTGATTGTCTCGCTGGCGAGCTGCTGTTCTGCGCCACGTTCCTCCTCATCGCGTCCTGCGGCGACCAGCGCCCGAAGGGGAGAACGCAGAGACCATGGACAGATGCACTGCGGAAGCTGTCGCAGATCCATTGGACTGGAATCCAGCGACACCTTCCGCCTTGCTTGCCACGCCTCCGCGTATCATGAGCGAGTCTGCCCCGAGGATGATGTCGATCTTCCCTGGTGCGCTTCTCCACGGTCATCTTCGGCTCCTCCTGAGTGAGTGTCGGCTCCTGAGGCATAAGGGCATGCCTTCTCATCCTTCGAGGACTATTGTAGCGGCGTGCCGTCTCCCCTGGCATGAGTCCCGTCGCGCGCTATCGGGCAGAGAACATGTTGTTGATCTACGCAGTGCTCCCCCTCTCCTCCTCCTCGTCATCATCATAAGCTTTCCCTTCTCATCTTTCTCCTCTTCTTGTCCATCATCAGCATCATCACCATCATTATCATCATCATCGCCATCATCATCATATCATCATCATCGTCATCATCCTCACCATCACCGCCATACTCATCATTCCCATCGTTGCCATCAATCATCTCCATCGTCATCCTTTTCATCATCATCATTATCATCATCATCATCATCATCATAGCATCATCATACTTATCATCATCACCACATTCACCAGAATCGTCATCGTCATCATCATCACCCCTTATCATCATCAGCATCATCACAGCCGCCATCACCATCATCACCATTATCATCATTATCACTGGCTCCTCCCCATCCTCCTCCTCTTCCTCCTCCTCTTCCTTCTCCTCCTCCTCGTCATCATCACCATCAACATTGTTATCGTCATCCTCATCATCATCATCACCATCATCATAGTAATAAGCACCACAGCGTCATCACCACCGTAATCATAATCAGCGTCAGCATCATCACTCGTATCATCGTCATCCTCATCATCATCATCATCATCATCATCATCATCATCATCTTCAGCGCTATCAATATCACATCGTCATCATCACCATCATCGTTATCCTCATCATCATCATCTTCATCATCATCATGATCGTAATCACCACCATCGTCATCGTCATTAGCGTTTTCACCGTCATTCTCATAATCAGCATCATCATCATAGTCAAAATCAGCGCTGCCCTGACGGGCGCGAAGGACGAGCTCCGTCGTCGTGGATACCAAGACTATCAGGCCGATTGGGCGGCTTGCTTCGTTCCCAGTCGCGTGGAGCAGCAGAAGGTGTTGATGAAACACGTCAGCACGAAGTGCCGGAAGACTTTGCTGCAAGACCTCGACGACTCAGGTCGCGCCGATTTGCGGTCTGCGGGTGACAAGGGCGGTGCTTTCCTGCTGCCGCCCACCGACAAGAGCCACCTGGTGCCAGATGAGAACTTCCTCGTGGCCTTGCGCCTGCGGCTGCAGATGTTGCGCCCCAGAGCTCAGCGCACACGCCCGCCCGCCAGCACTTGCGGGCACAGGTCGTCGCAGCTAGGGCAAAGGTGCGATTGCGGCATGGACGACCGGGGGCATCATGGTCTGACGTTTGAAGTCGGCGGCGGGCTTGTGCGGAGGCATGATCGGATTCGCGACTTGTTGGCGGCGTCGATCGCTGCCGTCACGGGGGGCCCAGTGCTCACCGAGCAGTTCGTTCCGAAGTGGGGCCGACGAGTAGAGGTGGACGGGGAGGGGCAGACTGAACGCGCACTTTTTACAAGCGCAAAGGGGGCCTGTGGCGATGACTGAACGCGCGCGCCTGGGCGTTGTTTCCATGGCCAGAACGCCCAGCGCTCATGCATCGACGTCTGCGTCTCCGCTGCGTTTTCCACTTGTCCTGAACTGCTCCGGGCGCGGGCGGCGCGGGATGGCGCGGCGGCCAGGCGGGCCGAGGATGGCAAGCGCCCGCGGTACCCAGTGCCGGACCTGGTTTCTTTTGCCGTGGAAGTTCTTGGCCGACCAGGCGCCGACGCCTTGCCCTCCTCCGCGCGTGCTCGCCAGAGGGCCCTTCTGAACGGTCGCAGGTTCTGGGCTCCGCTTGGCAGTCGTTGTCTGCGTTGCTGCAGACCCAGAACGCAGAGCTTCTGATGGCCGCCGAGTCGGCTTGATGCGTCGCCGTTTGTTGCTCGAGCTGTCCTTCCGCTTCCCTTTCCCTCCTCCTCCGCCGCGTCCTTTTCCTGCTTCTCGCTCCTCCGAAGTCGTTTTGGCTGCTCTTTCCTCCGTGGCCGTTTTGGCTGCCAGAGACGCCCCTGTGCCTTTTCACTCGCTTCTCGCCCTCCTTCCCCTCTCCTCTCCTGCTCCTTGCCTTCCGCGGTGGTGCGCGGCGCCTGGCGGTGTGGTTTGGTGGCGCGCGACCCGCGCGGCCGCGGCCCCGTCTCCTCCGTCTTCCATTTCCTCCTGGCCGCCTCTCCCTCTGCCCTCTGCCTCGCCGCTGCTACTTTTGAGGGGGCGCGCCCTGTCGCCGGCGCCCAGGTGGAGTGGCGCCCTCCACCGCGGGTGCTGAGAAACGTTCTGGATGGGCACACCCCTTCCTTGTTTTCATTGTTGCGTGGACTCGGCCGCGACGCGCCTAACCCTGGTGGGCACGCACCTCAAAGCTAGGCGCGCGCCGGGGCTGCGGATTCAGCAGGAGGAAGAGGAGGAGGAGGAGGAGGAGGAGGAGGAGGAGGAGGAGGAGGAGGAGGAGGAGGAGGAGGAGGAGGAGGAGGAGGAGGAGGAGGAGGAGGAGGAGGAGGAGGAGGGAGGAGGAGGAGGAGGAGGAGGAGGAGGAGTAGAAGGGGGAGCAGGAGGCCAAGAGAGGGAGGAGGATTAGAAGGAGGAGGAGGAGGAAGATGAGGAGGAGGAGGAAGAGGAGGAGGAGGAGGAGGAGGAGGAGGATGGAGGAGGAGGATGTCGTCTGCGGGCGGGCGCTCCGCCCGTCCGCCCGCGCGCTCCGACGGGTGCTCCTGAGGAGCCTACGCGCTGGCCCGCAGCCGCGGCGCTTGCCGGCGAGCTCAGGCGGCGGGCGCCGCGGAGCGGAGCTACATCGACATTATCGTAGACATCGTATCCTGTGCGAAACGCTGTCCATGGAATGCCAACGCTTGTGGCGCCGTAAACGGGACAGCCCTGCTCCTCCCCCCGGACGCGTATCCGTAGTCTTCGGCTTCGGGTAGTCCAGTCTCACCGTAATGATTACGTCATCCGGTCGTAATTTGCGTCGAACAAGTTTCCATCATGTGGCTGGCTTTCGAAGGCTGCGAGGTCGTATAAGCGTTCGAGCACGCAGTCATGTGACCTCAGGTCGTGATAGTGGTAGGCTTGAGCCGTGCCTTCGCACATCATGGCAGGCCGCTTCTTGGGGTACTGGCCGATGGGCTCGACGTTGGTACTCGTGACGCTGAAAGGCACCGATCCCGATCGGAATGGCCAGCGCTCCGCGGTGGTGTCCCACGCGCCCAATATATCCTCGAGGCCACTGTGGAACCTCTGGCCTCTGAGGTCGGATAATTCGGGCGGGCACCTCTTGTCGTCGTCTTGCAGGTTCATGTGCTCCTGTTTGTTCTGGCGGCGCGGCTGGGTCTGGCCGCCCAAGTGCTTGTGGTGGCTCTCGGAGTTCTGCCTCGTGCCCTCGTGGCTCAGCTGGTCGCCCTGGTAGCTCTTGTGGTGGCCTTCAGAGACAGGCTGGCTGGTGGCCCTTGTGGCTCAGCTTGTGACCCGCATCGCCCTGCTGGTGGCTCTCGAAGCTCCGCCTGTGGCAGTCGTAGTGGTGGCCCTTGGGAGTCAGCTGGTTGCCCTCGTCGCTCAGCTGGTGGCCCTCGTAGCTCAGAAGGTGGCTCTCGTAGCTCGGCTGATGGGCCTTGGGGATCTGCTTGTAGCCGCCGTCGTAGTACAGCTGGTGGCTCTAGCAGCTCAGTCGGTGGCCCTCGTAGCTTTACTGGTCGCTCTAGAAGCTCCGCCTGTGGCTGTCGTAGCTCGCACGGTGACCCTCGAAGGCCTGCTGGTGGATCTCGTAGCTTAGCTGGTCGCCGTCGAAGCTCTGCTGGTTGCCGTCGTAATTCTGCCGGTGGCCATCGTAGCTCAGGTGGCGGCCTTCGTTGCTCCGCTTGTGCTCCTCCTAGCTCTGCTGGTGGCTCTCGCAGCTCGGCTCGTGGCCCTCGAGGCTCTGCCCGTTGCCGCCGTAGCACAGCAGGCCGCTCTCGTCGTTCCGCCGCTGGCTCCGGCGGCTCTGCCGGCGGCCCCCGTGGCCCTGCCGGTGACTCCCGAAGCTCCTCCTCCCCCTCCTCCTCCCCCTCCTCCTCCCCCCCCTCCTCCTCCTCCTCCTCCTCCTCCTCCTCCTCCTCCTCCTCCTCCTCCTCCTCCTCCTCCTCCTCCTCCTCCTCCTCCTGCGCGTGGCCGTCGCAGCTCAGCACGGTGCCCCTGCCGCTCGGCGGCTGGCCCTCGGAGCGCAGGCGGTGGCTCGCGGGGCCCCGCCGGCGGCCGCCGCCGCGCGGCCAGTGGACGCTCTCGGGGTCTTTTGGTCGCCGCCCGCGGAGCTCGGCCCGTGTCCCTCGCGGCCCTGCGGCCCTGCCCCTCGTGGCTCTGCCGGTGTCCCTGACGGCGGAGGAGGAGGAGGAGGAGGAGGAGGAGGAGGAGAAGGAGGACGAGGGAGAGGGAGGAGGAGGAGGAGGGCTCCTCGTGGCCATCGTGGCTCCGCCCTCTCTTGGCCGTCGTGCGTAGCTCGGCCCGTGGTTCTCGTAGCTCGGCCGGCGTCCCTCGACGCTGAGCTGGCGGCCCTCGTGGCTCAGCTGTTGTCGCTCGGAGCTCGGCACCTCGCCGCCGTGGCTCTGCTGGGGGCCCTCGAAGCCCAGCTGGCGGTTCTCGACGCTCTCCTTCTTGCCGTCGCAGATCTGCGGGTGGCCCTCGGAGCTCTGCCGCTTGCCGCCTTGCCGTCGTAGATCTGCTGGTGGCCCTCGTAGCTTGGCCGGTGGTTCTCGCCGCTCTTCTCGTGGCCGCCCTAGCTCTGCTGGTCGTTCTTGACGCTCTCGTCGTAGCATTGCTCGTGGTTCTCGCAGCACCGGTTGGGGCTCACGAAGCTTTCGTGGTGTCCTTCGTAGCTCTGCTGGTGGTTCTCGAGGCTCTGCTTCTTGCCGTCGTAGCTCGGCTGATGGCTCTTGAAGCTCAGCTGGTGGCCCTCGAAGCTCTCCTCGTGGCCCTCGGGGGGTTGCTCCTTGCCGTCGTAGCTCTAGCCCTCGCATCTCAGCTGGTGGCTCTCGTAACTCAGCTGTTGGCCCTCGCAGCTTTCCTTCTTGCCGTTGTCGCGCTGCTGGTGGCCCTCGAAGCCTAGCTGATGGTTCTCGAAGCTCTGCTTCCTGCTGTCGTAGCTCTGCTGGTGGCTCTTGAAGCCCAGCAGGTTGGTCTCCCTAAAACATCAGTGAGGGCGAATCGATCTCGTGGTAGTATGCGCCCCCAATGTGGCTGTGTTCCTGGTCGTA